CAGATCACAGCAATAGCAATTCCCAACACGAACATGACTCGTGAGCGGATGTGCGGCGTGTCAGCAAGGAAGTCATCAGACTCCAGCAAACATCCTCCCTCGCAGTTTGTCAACAGCTTCACCACTGCTAATTCCTCACGAGCACATAGTCATCCTCACCAGGAAGCGCGCACTCGCCCGCGGGGGCCTGGCCTTGACAAGCTTCTGCTGCAGGTGAGCCATCTGCGACCACTCCATGCTGGTTGCCATTCGTAATATACTCATCAGACTACTCAGACTGTAGTCAGTGGTTCAGCTCTGTGTGGGTTCCAAGCCCCTATATAGCTTATAGCTTATAATTGGTGGGACATGCACAGCACGTATACTGTAGACGTAGACGTAGACGTAGACGTGCAGCAAGCAGCAAGCAGCAAGCAGCAAGTGCTCAATTTAGCATGTCACGCACCAGCGGCACTACGAGAAGCGCATACAACCACGAATCGTGAAGCATCGCGTACGTGAAATGGCGAATTGAATGTTCAAGATCGTACATAACACTCTGTATTCAAGATTGTGACTCAGTCCGTGCGCACCGCGACTCCTCGCGCGTCCCCCACTGATCGCGACTCGTGACTCGTGACTTCGTGATTGCGCGCGCGGAACGCGTCAAAGAGTCGAGTACGCGCAATCTCTCGGCCGATAGAAAAGCGGAACGGCGGCTGCGTGCTGCGCGCGACTTGCAGGGTCTTGGCCTGGAAGCACCGAGCGTCGATCATGAATGCAACAACAAATGGCGCTCTTTCCATATACCAACTTCGACGGTGAGGAAGGGGCCTATGGCTGGCTGCAGAGCGCGAAAAGGGCTCAAGATATGTGTCTTCTGGTGCTGATTCACGGGCTGCGTGTCCAATGTCTGTTCTCCAAGACGGAAGCCATTCAAGGGTCAAGAGCACAGGCCATCGAGGCAAGGTGACAAATGTAACGCCCACCGTGGCGAATCGATTGTAGAATGTCGGATCGCTTGTCGCATCCTGAAAAGGAGCTAGCCATCTTCGCATCCGACGAGACGATGCAGCAGCACAGTCAGGCTTCAAAGAAAGAGTCTGCAACTTCCTTCCTTCAGCAGACTCCTCTATTCCGCTTGCGTCTGATCAACATCGATCACGTGCTGTGCGACCCAACACCTTACGACCGAGCCACATCAGCTTTCAATCCGCCAGACCAGCCTCTGCTGCGCAAAGTTCCCGTGCTACGCATCTTTGGTGCCACACCGCAGGGACAAAGAGTGTGCTGTCATGTCCACGGCGTGTTTCCCTACACGTACATCGAATACACTGGCAGTCTTCGACCAGATTTTGGTAAGCAAGCACATACGATCCGCCTTCATGCATTCGCAACTCACTTGACGTATCGCACCCATGCTCGCAGTCCTATCCTACATCTCGCGCCTCGGAAGGAGCCTGAATGCATGCATATCAGCGTCCCTGCGCAAGCTGTCCACCACTTCTTCCCACATCGCATCCATCCATTTGGTGCAAGGCGTGCCCTTCTACGGCTACCATGTCGCTCCGCACTACTTTCTCAAAATCTCCTTTGTCGACCCCACCCACAACTTTCGCCTCGCCACGATCCTTCAGAGCGGCAAGGTGCTCGGCACCAAGTTCCAGCCGTACGAGTGCCATATTCGGTATCTGCTTCAATTCATGCTCGACTACAATTTGTACGGTTGCGACTTTGTGGATCTAGAGCACGTCAAATTCAGGCTGCCGGTTCCTGGTGAGCGAGTTCGGCGAGCCGGTTCATGTCTCGGCATCTCGATTGAATTACACTCTATCCCCAACAACCTTTAGAATCGGCAGGGGACAATCTCGGCGCAGATTTGTGGACGAGCGAGACCATCGCACCATCATTCATTCAGGACGACATGTACCACCGCATCTCATTCTGCGCGCTCGAGATCGACACCAAGGCTTCCTCCATCCTGAACCGACGCCTGCTGAAGGAACGACCGATCCATTCAAAGATACCCGAAACGAGACCTTCCTCCAGTGCGCTTGCGCAAAAGCTAGTACCTTCATTAACAGATCTATGGCAGGAAGAGCAAAAACGACGAAAGAGAAATGGGCTGCCGCCTAGTATCCCCGAGCCGGACTCGGTGGGAGAGAAGAGAAAGTACAAATCAGGCGAAGCTCCTAGATGGATGGCGAGCGACAGGTTCGATGCCTCGTTGAGCGAGAGGCTAGCTGTGGATGCAAAGATCAGAGAGGAAAAAGGATGGGACAGCAAAGTGTACGAAGGCGGCACCTCTTACGATCGCTACATTGTCAGTGCCTTCGATTCTGTCGAACTGTTTCACAGTGAACACGAGTATGAGTCAGAGCCTACGCAGATACAGGCTGGACCAGATCAAGAATTTGAGGGATCGATAGGCCCCCGAATGTACGATTTGGAATTTACTTTAACACAGCGCCGCGCCACACAGCAGCAGGCACGTTCAAATCCCGCTTCGTCGGTCTCTGGCAGTCCGACCAAACTGAATTCCGTACCAAGCTCCCAGAGCGCAGAGGGCAACGATGTCAATGATGCAGGTCAAAGCAGCCTAGACGACTTGTTGTCTGCATCGCAGCACACTTCCACGAGCTTGGATGAAGATGTAGATACCAGCTTCTTCCAGAGCAGCGCGTTCCAAGAGGCGATGCGAGAGGTGGAGAAGGCAGCAATTGGTGCCGAGAGGAGCGAAAATTTAGGAGATGAACACGATCCGCTCGACTTGATGCCCAAGGAGCGCACTCCGGACGCGAGCAGATCTGCACCCACTACGCCTTCGAGAAGAGGACGCTTTGTACCACGAACGCCCACTTCGCTTCGAAAGACGTCCACTTCCACCCAATCGACGCCTGCGAAGAGACCCAACGATGCTTTTGTGACACCTACGAAGACGAAGCAGCACAAGTTGAGCGAAGGCAAAGCGTCTGAAACGTCTGTGACACGAGCACAAGCGCGTTCACCCGATGCCGTGGATGAGGCCACGCCAAAAAGGAGCGCCACGGATCCTATACAGCCAGGCAGTGGCGCTGACAAGATGCGCCAGTATCTTGGGTGCAGCCAGGAATGGAGGGTCAGGCCGGATAGCGACCTGAGTCAAAATAGTCATAGCCAGCTCTCACAGACGGGCGCTGGACATGACCAGAGTACTCGGAGGGACCGAATGATCAGCAACCAATCTGATGGTAGTTTGGCCATAGATGCATCCAGAGGCGTGCGATTTGCGGACTCGACAATGGATCCTGCAGGTCCGAGCGTCTGTGTCTCGCATCAGCGAATGGAGTCGTCCAGCTCGACGGGTAAGAATACTGGAAGCTCAACCTCCGTGACGGAACCGAGCGCATCGTACGACTCTCTCGCATCCGCTTCAGATCGCTCCGTCAAGCCTACGAAAGCTTGGCAGTACGGAGTGCCAGCTCCCCTCACTTCAGAGGTGGTCAACTCTTTCGGGTTCTTTGGATTACCGACGATTGACTACCAGGATCCGTACTACTCTAATCCTGCCGACGTACCTAAATCAGCTCGAGAGTACGCAGGAAGGAGCTTCAAATTCAGCAGCAAGACTGTCAGGTATCTGCAACCTTTCTTTGCAGCAGCGCCGGATGAGAGCGACTCCGTTCTGAGCCCTACGAAGGCTGCTCGTGATAAAAGAGAAGCGCAAAAGGCGGCTCGGCATGCTCGAGCGCTGAGTAAGCATCAGTACCAGTGGACGTTCTGCACTTCTCCACCACCTCGACATCGTGTGCAGGAATGGTGCGGGAAGCATCGGCAGTCATCTGCCGCTCTGCTAGCTGCGCCTACGAAGCGCACCTCCGACTCGGCTCCCCCGCGACAACAGGGCGGGAAAGCTACCCAAGCTGCCGACACCGGATTCAAGCTCAGTCAGCGAAAGCCCACTGTGCTGGCTGAAGAGAAGCATTACATGACCACGTTTGCTATCGAAGTGCACATCTGCACTAGAGGCTCGCTCATGCCCGACCCGCGCAAAGATCCCATCTCCGCCATTGCCTACAGCTACCAAAACGAAGACGAGAATTTGGAGGACACGGGTAGCAGACCGAACCTGCTCAGCGGACTGATTCTGTGTACGCCGGACGAGGGCGCCGAAAATAGCGCTGGTCTGCTCAAGCCGGAACGACTAGGGCTGGGGAGGTTGAAAGTTGACGTCGTTTCCAGCGAGCTCGACCTTTTCAACAGTCTTATTGATTTGGTCAGGGCGCTAGACCCAGAGATACTTGTGGGCTGGGAAATTCACAACAGCTCGTGGGGCTACATCATCGAACGAGCACTTCGAGAGCTGGATTTTGAGCTCATTGCTGAGCTAGGTAGGGTCAACACCGGCTCGACTGGCATCAAGGGCGACAAGTGGGGCTACACGCAATCATCGGCGATGAGAGTGACGGGCAGACACCTGCTGAACATTTGGAGACTGATGCGTGGCGAATTGACGCTTGGCCAGTACACGTTTGAGAACGTCGTCTTTCAATTGTTGAGGAGGCGAACGCCTAGATTTGACCATGCGACTTTGACAAAGTGGTATAGGTCTGGCGTGCCGCACTTGGTCAGAAAGACGCTGCTGTACTGGATGGACAGAGTGGAGACGGATCTGGAAATCCTGGAAAATTCGGAGCTCATTTTCCGCACAGCAGAGTTTGCTCGCATATACGGCGTGGACTTTTTTTCCGTCATCAGCAGGGGTAGTCAATTCAAGGTGGAGTCGGTCATGCTTCGCATTGCGAAGCCCGAAAACTTTATCCTTCCTAGTCCGAGTCAGCAGCAGGTGGGAGAACAAAATGCGGCGGAGGATCTTCCGCTCGTGATGGAACCTCAAAGCGCCTTTTATAAAGGGCCACTTGTCGTGCTAGACTTTCAAAGTCTTTATCCTAGCATCATGATAGCGTACAACATCTGCTACTCGACGTGCTTGGGCAGAGTCAACAAGTTCAAAGACACTTGGAAGCTTGGCTTTACCGAGTATGCACCACCCGACGGTCTGCTTTCGCTGCTCATCGAGGATTGCTTTGTGTCTCCTAATGGACTGGTGTACGCCAAGCCACACTTGCGCAAGAGTCTACTTGCGAAGATGCTGACCGAGATCCTGGACACGCGCGTCATGGTCAAAGGTAGTATGAAGGGATCCAAAGATCGAGCATTCAAGCGGCTCCAGAATGCTCGGCAGCTGTCCCTCAAGCTCCTCGCCAACGTGACTTATGGCTACACCAGCGCCACATTCTCTGGGCGCATGCCATGTGTCGAGGTAGCGGACAGCATCGTGCAGTACGGCCGAGAAACCCTGGAGAGGGCCATCACTACCATTCATGCAACGGCAGAATGGGGTGCCCAGGTGGTGTATGGAGACACGGACAGTCTGTTCATATACCTTCCTGGGCGCAGCAAGGACGACGCGTTTCGTGTAGGAAACGCGATGGCTGAGACCATCTCTGCCGACAATCCTGCTCCTGTCAAGCTCAAGTTTGAAAAGGTGAGCATCATCCCTGCCTCTGCACACCGCTGAAAGGTACTGACGTGGGCGATTGAAATGGCTTAGGTTTACCTGCCATGCCTTCTCATGGCAAAGAAACGCTACGTTGGCTTCATGTATGAGACGCCAGATCAAGAAGAGCCTGCATTCAACGCCAAGGGCATCGAGACTGTCCGTCGGGATGGTTTTCCAGCGCAGCAGAGAATGGTCGAAGCTTGCATTCGCATCTTGTTCCGCACGCAGGATCTGTCTCTTATCAAATCCTACTGTCAGAGACAGTGGAGAAAGATCATGGAAGGCCTGGTCCCCTTTCAAGACTTTATCATCGCGAAAGAGGTTCGGCTGGGCACATACAGGTAAGTCTTGATCTGCGCAATTTCTGGTCGTGATCGATGGCATGCTAATCACAGCGATCCATTCCCACCTGCAGCGAAA